GCACGCCAATATCTAGTCTTGCCTACTCTTTGTCTTTGGTTAATTGTTCTCTGAGTGCACATGGTATGCATTGACCAGCATTGTAGCCTGTGGGCTGGGTCCCCCCTTCTGTCCTGAGAAATCCTCAGCTCAGCCAGGACCTGAGGCTTGTATGGAAGGGGTCACTGAAAGCAGCATCTTGTTGACTTTGACTGTCTGAGAAATGGAATGGTGATAGTGGTTACCAGGCCCACCGCCAACATCCCATCCAACTTTATCATAGTACCCTCAACCATTCCCCCATGCGCAGTCAGGCTTACAAAGAGTAGGTTGGCAAGCTCTGGTGGACGCAAGGGATGTACTGATACCACCATTGGTACCGGTGTACCAATATTAGTACCTAATAATGCCATTGCACTTTTAACAGTGACTGTAAGAAATGCAATGTTGTAAAAGTTGCTTAAAGTATCTCCAAACTGCTGACATTGCTCCCCCCCCATACCAGCTCAACAGGTTACATAACATCACACTGCCATGAAGTGGTATCGGGTGCAGTATCAGAGTAGTTTTATTATTACAATTACAAATACATGAGCACAGTATCATACCCGATACCGGATACTGGTATCGGGTATTGTTGCATCCCTAGTCGACGCCATATCCCCCTAAATGGGGTAAAGTGGTCTAGGTCAAGTCAGTCAGTCAGGCTGGCTGTACAAACAACACCAAGCAGCACAGTGTGACACTAATGATACAGCTTTATCTCAGGAGACAAAGAATAACTATACATCCAGAATTAGGATGAAAACAAACTGGATTAGCTAGAGGAAATGGAGGAAGAGGATGAGACATTTTGAAGCACTAGATAACTACATCCAACATGGTCACTTAAAGAGTGAGGGACAATGCCGCAGCTTATGATTTAGGTCCAAATGTACTTCACGACTAAAAATAGTTTTGTCATATAGCCCCTAAAATGCAACACGAGGTCATGTGAGAGGCAGCAGTGTTTTCTGAATAATGGTGAGCCAGTCCGGACTGGTTCTAGATAAAAGGGGAGAAAAGAGACGATGGAAAAAGGTTGCAGGAGTGCAGCCAAAGTTCTGACAACTTGGAAGCTGCTAAAAGCCAATTGAGATTCTCTTATGTGCTTCATTAGTGCAATCTGAAGAGCGCTCAGAAAGGAAAAAAATAATAAGGCTTTATGTTTTTTTTCTGTCTTCTTTTCTATCCTATGCAAAGTTTGTTTACCAGCAGTGTATATGTTGTTACAAGTGACCCTCTCTTCCTGTCATTTTCACTTTGTACTCCTTATCCTCGGGTTCACCTTGGCAGTGTGTTTTCAATACAGCCATTGTTATTTGTAAAGAGATATAGTGACATTTGCTTCCAAAATATGAATCATCTTCCGAGCCAGGTTTCTGGGAAGAAAACAAAAGTCTTTGTCTGTTCTTGGTGTGGGATGTGCTATATTTACATCTCAACAGTGCAATTACCTTTGCTGGTAAAAGCCATCTCGCCTGTCATAATGATACACAAGACATAGCTACACTACTTTAGCAACAACATCGGCCTGACCATAATGAGACAGCAATGCTATACATAGGCGTGTTTGGCACAAACAGAGCATTACTACCTTGTGTTGCTTGCCATGAGTACGAAAACCGATGTCAACACAAGTTCAGGATTTTGTAACTTGTTTGGGCTTCTGAAAATAGAGCTAACGTAGTCTGCTCCCATTCCATTCACTGTCCAGGCTTTAGTCTTGACCGGTCTGTTGTCCACCTGTTGAAGGCTGTTTTTAGTGAAAGGCTGAATAAATAGAAAGAGAAGAAGGGGTTGGGGGGTTTCAACAGGGAAGACGGGAAGGGGTGAGCCATAGCAGCAACTTAATGCTATTCATTCTTGGTGAATAATGGCCAACAAAGACACTATCAGCATGTATTCCCCTCACTCTTCTCCCCGCCACAGAACCTATTGAACTGATGCCAGACCCAACCAGTCTATTTCTCAGCCCGAGGGCCACCTCCCTGTCTCCTCTGAGCTGAGTTATCGCTGGCTCGCCACTCTTTGGTCAGATTTATACCTACTATCACTTGTTGAGGTATGAACTTAGTAGTGGGTGGTGACTGAAAGCAGTTAAATAGCTATGTAGAGTATGGAGTTGAGTGCATTTTCACCCCGTGCAATGGGGAAAGACAGTAAAGATGTACAAAATGGGGAAGGATTTCTTCTTAAAGCGCAGGTTTGTAAGATTTTGAGGTCTCATCATTGTTTTCTTTCTTTAGCTTCTTTGCTGAATGCAGGGGGAGGGGGAGGATGAGGAGGAAAGGGGGTTGCAAGAATGCTTGAGTCACACAGAAAAAAAGGGATGATATGTGGGGTTTGACAGGGGAGGGTGGGATGAGGGAGGCACAGCAGTGGGAGGTGCCTTGAGGAATGCCTTGAGGGTGTCATAGAGGTCTGGGAGACTTTGGACTGATAATCCTCCACATCAAATTACTCTTAGTCACCACTCTGATTTCAGTCCTGTTGTCTCTCTGTCGTCAGTCTATCAAACCAATAAGGAGGACTCACCACCTGTCAATCTTTGCTTAGTCATGTCAAACAGCCCTAAAATGAACTTGGTGTGGGTCTGATTATGGGCAAGCATATGACCCACTGAAGGGTCAGGGTGCAAAAAGTGTACTTACTTCTCTGCTGCTTTTAAAATGTCACTCCTCCCTGGCACCTCAGCCTTTTCTCACTGTGGCCTTTAGTACCTAAGCAATGCCTCAGGAGGCTGTCCCCCCCACTTATATTCTAGAGTGTGGTTTAGGTGATTTGTCAGACAACACAGCTCTTAGATGTGCCAAAAGCTTTGCTTTATAGACAGAACAGTGAAACAGTTCACTTAGATGTGAACTGGCTCTCTGCGGGCCTTTGTGACTCAGCCTGGTTAAAAGCTACAGCGTTCTTCACTGTGGTCTTTTGTTTGCATGATTTAATTCGTCAAATTAATGCAATTAATCCAAGACATCTATTTTTGGAACATCTGCTTTATACAATGTGCACACTGGTTATTAGGCGCTGTGACTGCATGTCCTCATTAGTGTGTTCAGATAACAGTCTGACGTCAGATAAAGGCAAAGTAAACACATGGATGAAGTAGGTATTGTCGATGGCTTGCTGCTACTGAATCATAACGTCTGAGTTCCACAACTACAATAGTTTTGGGCATTAGTGATACTGCCATTGAAACCGGATTTTGAAACTGGCATCATGTTTTCTTTTGCCTGTGGTCTGACTTTTGACTTTTCTGTCTAACTATTTCAATTGGAACTCTGACAAGCATTTGTTTCAGTATTTATTATCCAATGGTCTGGCAAAAAGATAATCAATTTAACTAAATATATTTTAATAAAAAATAAAAATAATAAAATAAGCTAAGTAAAACATTCTGAGAAATGTAGTAGCCATGGTTGCAGCACAAATGGCAAATTGAGCAGAAAGAGGTGTAAATTTGGGTTAAAGAGGTACAAAGTCAAACATGCTGTGAAATGACAGGGGTGATTAGTTTCTGTGTGAGAATACCAAGGAATCAATACAGATAACAATAAAATAGTTTATCCACCAGAGAGCACTGACAAGTTATTTTTTATTTTTATTGTATTTTTTTATTTTTTGGTCACTGTGTTCTTTAAAAAAAAACAACATGTCTAATAATGTAAAAAGAAAACAAATGTTGATTTTGAAACTCTCAAATATTGACATCGGCATCACCTTTAAAAGTGTCGGATGGGCTATAATAACTTTATTAAACATGCCTGCCTGTGCCTTTTTTTTAAAGGCTTTATCATAGTTTGTGTTATCCATGAGCATATTCTTTGTACACCTAGTCCAGTGGATGCACTGTAATCTTACAGTAACAGCTGATAACAGCAGCCGTTTACTTGCTTATTCATAATATTCATCATAATATGCAAATAGTCTGCAGGTTAATCTATTTAAGTTTAGGTCTAAATTATTCTGTTTCATAGGCTGTCAAAAGGGACAGTAGTCTGACTTTTTTTTTTACAGAGGTCTGTATGGTATCGGGTCCATCTTCAGTGGCCAGTCTTTAGTTTCAGGTTTGGGGGTGTGTGTGTCGGGGGGTGTGTGTGTGTTTGTGTGTGTGGGTGTGGGTGTGGGTGTGGGTGGGGGGGGAGAAAAGAAAAAGAGACTAATGACGGTTCGAATTTAAGATTCAGGGAGATGTGATGATAGAGAGAGGAGAGGTGTTGGTAAAAAAAAATAAAGGGGTTGGCTCCTGCTGAGGGGCTCCCACACATTCTGCTCGACCCATTGGTCACGCATGTCTTTGCTCTGTCTGTGTTTGTTTGGGAGGGGGCCGTGGAGATAGAAGCACAGTTCAGGACTGTGGCAAAGTTTCACAAATGAATGTCGAGCAGTTTCTATAGTTGATTAGGCCTTTTGTTTTGTACCTGTGTTTCTATCTCTGGACCAGAGTGGTCAGATTTAGGTTACGTCATTCTCTCATTTTCCCACAGGGCGTTGTCCAACTCAAACATGGACACACACACACACGCACACACAGTCTTTCCAATTGCACCTGGTCTTGCGGACTATGACCTCATTCCAGGAAAAGGAAGAGAAAATCACCTGACAGACTCATTTGTGTAATCAGCTGTTCTCGGGACTGGAGGCCAGAGTGTGGATGTCTAGTGCCTCAGGTTATAGATTGTACAAACAGTAGAGACTCATATGTAAATACTCAAGCATGCAAAGAGTTTCGAGTTCATTCTGCTCTTATCTCTGAGTTTTCTTACGTCGTTGGGGAATGTAGAATACAAAGAGAATAACTTGAGAAAATTGATACAGAGAGAACGACAAAGCCGAAAACACGCTTTCAACTACCTGAAAGGGGGGAGGTACCTGATCTGTCAGCACAGCAAGAAAGGGTGGGGAGGGAAAGGGAGAGAGAGAGAGAGAGAGGGAGAGGGAGAGAGAGAGAGAGAGAGGAGTGACTGGGAGGGTGTGTTTCTGTGTGGGTGAGAGACACAGAGAGAAGGAGGAGGGGTGTAGACAGGGAGAGAGAGCGAACTCTAGCAGTCAGATCTTAGCTGTGGTGAGGACACCCAGGAGAAGTGCATTCCTGAGCCAGCAAGCGAGGAGAAGACAGCAAGATAGAGCGGAGGAGTCACGACATCCTTTAAATCTCTCCGCGACCACGTCTGACTGCCTCTCACCTCCGCTGGACTGGCACGCTCCTCGCGCACACCCCACAGTCACTCGCTGCCTCGCACACACACACACCAGCGGCACAACCGGCTCTGCTGCTCCGTCAGAAGTAAGGGATTTCACTGTGTGAGGAAAATAGAGGGGGAGAATACAAACAGACGGAGGAAATAAAGACACTGAAGACAAGGATAAAATCCTCACTTGGTGAGTGTAAAGGCTTCTTTCAGAGATTGTTTCAACGTGTCCATGTCTGTTTGAATGAATTGCCAGTGTTGCAAAGTTTCTGTGAAGTCAGCCGATCTGCCGATGGCTTTGCCGTATGTTCCAACCTGCATGTAAAGAGAGCTGTTATTATTAATATGTGTAAGCTTGTGTGTATATTTGTTGTAAGCAGAGAAACAAAGAGAATCTTGTGTTATGTCTTTGGTGAGCTGAGCTGTGTCTTCACATGTACCTGTTGACACTAGACCCGTCACCAAAGTATTCCTCCGAGAGGAAAAAAAAAGGACTCAAACCTGTTTGGGTGAAACTTCACTTCTGTTTTTTCACTTTTTTTGTGGGTTTTTTTGTGTTTTTGGAGTACTCCCAGTGTGAGTCAGAGAGTGCATGTGCATGTTTTTGTGTACAAGCATTTACCGTGCTGGAAGACAAGTGCACGCTATCTCTTACACAGGTCTCCCGTCACACAGGCTGCTGCTCCTTTTACCACTGTAGGATTAAAGATTAATTTATGGAGGGCATGGGCAGAGTTCAGCTCACTCGCTCCATGTTCCTACCGCAGTTAACTGTTAACGTGCTACACATCTCAACTGCCAAGACTGTGCAAGTCTAATGCACCAAACCACTCTAAGCCTTTTTAAACATTGACTCATCATTATGCATGGCTAGTGTCTTATTTAACATTTCCCAGCGTGGTGTGTGTCAGATAGTGGAACTTCGAACTCATTAGCAGGCTGTATTTGTTATCCAATCAGAGCCATCGATTGGAACCCCCCCTCAAGCCCAAGGGAGGTGATTATTTTTTTCCCCCTGACTGACTGTTGGAGTTGCACAGTTTATACCTCACGTGTTATCTCTGTTTGTGTGTTTCACACAGTGAACTTGGTTCCACAGAGATAATGTCATTATAACAGATGGTCGTAGGGGGAAGAACTAAATGGACATCCCTGAGTCACGGTGCTGATACTGCCTCAGCATTCCACAAGCTCCTTGAGAAACCCGTTGTCTTAAGTATTTCGTATTTATTACCTGGAAGCTGTTTAGTGTAGAAAGTTGACTGTTCTTGCTTCAGTTAGTTGATGGACAGCAGAGAGACATGATGATATAATGTACTGCTAAACGTCCCCTCTCTTTGAAGCACTGAGATATTATACCTAGAGCCACTATCAGATGGCAGGATAATGATGTGGTTGCCAGTAGTCTGAACGCATTATAAAACTTTCAGCTTTCTTCTGAGCCTTGTTTAGTAAGCACTGCTTTTCCCCCTCGTTCCCTTTGTGTCTCCTTCACTGCCTAGATATTTCTTATTTTCTATCACATGAATGAGCCTGTTCAGCATGGAGAGAGCAGAGTGTCCTCTGAGAGTCGTCTCGCCTTGTTCACTGCAATGTTATTTTTACTGCTCTTTCACTGCTCGAATACACAGATGGACTCCCCTCTTCTTCTAGAATAGTCTGTCTGTCTGTCTGTCTCTGTCAGTGTGTCTGATTGTCACTCAGCTCACATTGGAAAGGAAAGCAAGTCCACCCATGTACACCTAGATGTCTCTTGGGATTCTTGATGGGAATTTTCATAGTCATTCTTCATGCTGTGAAGTGACTTAATTTCTCACCGTCCTTATCAGGAGTGTTTCCAAACTCCTGCAGATGCACTCAGGGCCAGAGGTAATTGGAAATGCTATGACAGCACCTCGGTGAAATAACGTGTTTGCATGTTTCGGGGGTTGTGAATTTTTTCTGGGGAAGGTGGTTTGAACCACTTTCTCCCTCCCTCACTCTCTGTAGCTGTCTTTCTTTCTCATGTGTTGCTCTGCCTACCTCGCTCGCTCCCTCTTGTTCTTTTTCAGTGCGTCCTTTCCCTTGCCTGTGCAATGTGACGGAAGGTAGTGCTGTGCTCTGCTCATGTCGGATCCATTAGGGATGAAAGCACACTGCAGTGATAAAAGATTGATCCAGTCCTCCTAGCATCACATTCACATCCCTCACACCCCACTCCCTCATCCTCCCTCACACCCCTGTTTCCAATCCAAAGTCAACCCAGTTTTCAATTTATCAAATCATCTGTAGTCCTCTAAATATATCATCCTCACCAAGTTTACCATGGCAAACCTTTCCCACAGGATTTCATAACGGGGAACATTCTGCTTGTGCAGGGTGCTTGTACGAGTTCTCAGTGATGCAAAGAAAATATCCATCTTCCTTATGAAATGTTCTGGGCAGTACATTTAGAAAAGAAATGGGACTGTTCCTCCTTCACTCCCTAGGTGTTTTTTTTTTTCTTTGCTCCAGGAAGGATAATATGTATTTGGCTAGCAGAACCAGTAAGAAACTGGCATTCAGTCCAGCATATAAAAGCCTTACTTCACCTGTTGTATGTGAGGAGGCAAAGACAAACACAACAGACCTGTAGTTTGTCAGCTGGGAGGCTATAATTACTGAGAGGAAGGAGGGGATTTGGAGATGGAATTTCTCTGTGCTTCTGCTTTTAGATCTTAAGACATGAACCCTTCAAAAGCACCTTAAAACACATTTTTGTGTTGTAACACTGCAGACATTTCTGGACTGATCAGAAACAAGTGTATAAGTCTTCTGATCTCAGGTGGATCATGTGGATCATGATGTTTGCGAAATGTGTCCCTAAGTGAATGGTTTATTACCAACTGCAAGCCGTTGTCCTTGTTTTTGCTCTCAGTCCATATTTTTAGGTCATTGAGCTGCACACACATCCATAGCCTGAATCTCTTCATTCATCCAACATGTGCAGGTCAGAGGTTAGATTAAGCCACCTACTCTCCGTTTGTCCTCACAGAGCTTAGTCCACCTAAGGACATGTTCACCTGAGTGAATGCTGTCATGTCCTGTCAGGGTGAACTTTGCGTGTGGTTGTTTGCTCTGTCACGTCATCAAACCCATAGCTTCCCATTTCCTGGTCTTTTGTAGCAGTTCGAAACTCCTAGCAGGTTATAGTTGCTGGGCTTATGGACGTCTGCATCTGTTTGTCCCTGTCCATGGCTCTCATTTCTCCCGGGGTGTAGTGATTGTAGCGCGGTAAACATCTCTGCCAGCCCCTTGGGATGGTCATGTGACCGTGTGTGTATTTGTGCACATCAGCGGATGCGTGTGTGAGAGTGAGCAGCAGGTTGCTCCCTTGCTCAACCAGGCTTGCCGTGTTGACTCTCTGCACACAGCGCTCTCTGGGCAGTAAATAACATGGTGCCTCAGCCAAGGGCCCCGGACAGGGCTAAGGAGGGGGTCAAGACGCCAGCAAGAAAGAAAAAAATGTCTGCCTCAGGGCCTGGAGATACTAAATCAACCGACGGGAGAGGAGAGAGGCAGGTGGATTTGACAGATTCGTCCCTCACGCTGAGAGGCTTGACGTTGGACTTGTCATTGAATGTAGATGTGTTTGATCAAGCACATTAGAAGCAAAACAAGCAAATGTTGCTCATGGGTAGATGGCAGCCGCTGGCACACAAAACCCACAGTGGTGTGCAGAAGCGCACGTAGGCAAAAATCTGGAATGCGATCATTTACTTATTTACGTGAAGATAAAAACAATACAACTCTTCCATAAGGTACAGCATTTAGTTATTATCATTTTACATGCTGCCTTGTTTTGAATGCAGATGTAAGACCAAGACATGATGGGTGTTGAAGTTTATTTGGGAACTTCAAGATGAGCAAAATTAGTTGAGCTTGTGACTCTGAATGTAGGTAGTAGTAAATCTTTCAGCAAACACTGGTGAACTGTCACATGCGTCTTCATTCTGTCAGTTTCTCAGTATGTACAAGGAATATACTCAGAGCACCCTCTTTCAGAGGGGAATCTCTGCCAAAGTGGACACTTTTTTTTCTTCCATAGAGATGAAGAGACAAGCCATATTCTCAGTGTCAGGTTTCATTCTTGTCTGTGGTTTTAGGTGCAATGTTTGACTCAGACCTGGGCCCTGTGCCAAGATGCAGGTTTACCGAGTTGCCTGGGTAGCTTGGCAGAGCAAAACATGGCCCCCCTTTTTAAATGTGGAACACAGGCTGCTCCAGGTTCTTACATAGCAAAGTTATCAAGGTAATGTGGTAAGCTTGCTTCATGAAACAGTTCCTTAACAACAAGGCCTCCGTTATCATATCTTTGAAACCAGCCTGGATAATTGTTTGGTCAGTTTCGTTGTGTATTTCTGCCTTCTGTTGGACATACCCCCTTTAACAAACATTCAGTGTTATGCCTCCTTGTCAGGCCTCCCCTTCGCCACTCCTCCCCCTCCTCTCTCTTTGTCATTCCCGAGGGGTAGCCGACTTATCTTCTCGTATATAAATTCAACAACAGCCGCCTTGTCAGTATTAAGCTGTGTGTATATGCATGCGTATCCATGCCAAAGATCACCCCGGTGATCTTGAGTCAGAGGGGTGAAAGGCAGCTTTCTGTGAAGTGAAGGGGGCACCTCGGACAGATATACGTCTTAGTCCCAAAGGTACTCTCCTAGCATACTGAGAATCAGCCGTAAATCTGCCCTCCTACCTTTTCCTTACTCATCTTGACTGTCCACACATCTTCCCCCCACTGCTCTGATAGGCGTGATCGTTACGCCTCCTCAGAGTAATGACAGGGAGAGAGAGTCGTGTGTGACACCTTGCCATCAAACTATAAATCAGGCTTATTTAGAGGCCCACCCTAATCCTTCCACATGCAACATAAACAGATTCCACCCTTTACTTTCTGTGTATTTTAAACGGGTGCATCTATGGCTGGGTATCAACACTTACACAAGTATTTTAGTGGTACTGAGCAAGAACTGTGTATGAAAAACTCTCTAGCTGTTAAAGCTTTATCAAGTGTCTGGTCAGATCATCATTTTAAACTATTTTATTTAGTGGAACTTCCTGTATGGCTGCTTGTGCCAACATTTAATATTAAAAAAGAGTTGTGTTATTATTGTCAAAACCCAGGTCATCGTATGCTATTGGCATTAATGTAGTCAAATTTAAACA